TGCTAAAACTGATGCCAATTAATCTGTATTTCAAAGCATGTCAAGAAGAAGGGAATAAGGTGATTTATTGAATTGTAATCAAGATATGAAGAATAAGTCACTAAAATATTTATAGTTTTTCCATCCGATTTAGAACTTAATAGGAGTTGCACTGGCTTTGTTGGTGTTTTATTGTACAAATAATGTATTTACTCTTTAATATGCCAATTTATATTTCCTATGTTTCAAATGAATATTTAAATATAACTTAAAAGAAATTTAAGTACTTTTTTCTAAAAGTCGAGTGGTCATTTCTTTTCCATTAAGTGTATAGGGGTGTGTGTGTGTGTGCGTGTGTGTTTTAATATGAGTTGGCATGATTTGACAACACAGCTTAGTTTATTGTTGATTGAAATAATGGTATCGGAGTAAAAAATCTAAGAGAAAGCTAAAGAACGCGGGCTTATAAAATTTATGGAAATTAAAGAAACAACATCGGTTAAACACGCTTTACAAATGATCAAGACAAAAGACTCCAAACTGCTTCTGCATCTGAGGTTTTAGAATTACAGTTTAGGGCTGAAACATTGTATGTTGCTTCATTGTTCAAGCATTTTTCTGAATGTGCAAAGTGAATTCATAAGAAGGTGTTTTAGAAGTTAAACTTGCACTTTCTTGAAATTGTTCTATATAGTCATTTTAAAAAGTAACTCCAGTTTCTCTCACAAAGGGGGAACCACTAAAGCAGCGGGGGAATGGCCTTTATCAGGGGCTGCGAATGAATTTTGGAAAATGAGATGTGACTTTAAAATGTTTTACTTAAGAAGAAATAATTTTATCAAATTTGTATGAAAATGGTGCAATACACTTACAGCAAATTCTCTTAACTTGGGTTTTTTGCATATTAATGGAGTGACTTGATGTTAACCAAGCTAGTAAACCTATTACCAATGGGCCAAATTTCAAAACGCTTGTTTAGTATCCATGTGAGTTCCTCATAATAGTGCCAGAATTCTGAAATTTTACTTCTAGCAACTCTGTCCAAAAAGTCCACATGGTTTACGGTAATTTTTTTAAACCTACAAAAACAATAATTTATAGCTAAGGGCTCCAGGTAATATATTTAAAGAAAATTAATCTTAGTGGACAGTTTTTTTTTTTTTCTTAATTTATTTCTGGAACAAAGAATTCCTTAGATGGAAGAAATGAACACTCTTCCAAGAATAATGTTACTATCAAGAAGAAACAACTTTTTGTATAATGTTTTCTGAACATCCATTTGGTGTGGGCATGTCTTTCTCCTTTCAGCATTCGTTTGAGCAGTAAAAGACCCAAGTAATTGCTGCAGAGGATTTAACATTCTGTACCCAAGACTGAGTTTATATACGTGCATATCCCAGAATTAGGAAGCGGTTTGATTCCTGAAGCTTAGCTTAGAAAACGTTTTTATTATGGAATCCCACCTTCTGATGAATGCAAAACAAGAGCTGTTTTCTTCTTTTGCAATTAGTGCGTTGCCGATCTTTTATCAAAACACAAACGGCCAGACTAGGTGAAACTCATTAACTGAAGAGGAGGATAAGTGCCCACAACCAGGAGGGAGGACAGTCGCGGGGTCTGAGTGGAACAAAGCCCCCTGAAAGTTTAGCAGATGCCACAGCAAACCTGTTTCAGAAATGCTAACTCTGCAGATGTGACCTTTTCCTCCATGCTCTTGGGTTTTACAACCCTCTGACTTGTCTTTTCCAATGGAGGCACAGAGACCAAAACCCAGGATCAAAGTCGCAGAAAGGGCAGGGCTTGCAGGTACTTTCTGTCATCTGCGTTGGGATGTGAGTGGAAGAGCTGTGTGTGAAAGTGTGTGCACTTTGGCAGGACACAAGAGGGGTGTTTTGTGTGTGGAGGGATGGGGGTGGACTCAGTTGGCTTCTATTTAAGGCTTTGCTGAGAACTAAAACCCGATGGTCAGAGCAAGTAGTCAATCAGACTTCTATCAACACAGATGTTGTGCTCAGGCTCCATTCTGCTGGCGACTGTTTACTTTCAATCTAAAGCAAATCAGAGACTCAGTCCCGATCACTGAACGCGGGCACCTTCCATAGACTTGCTTTGTTAGCTGGATGGAATGCTGATGATTTAGAAAGACTTTTAGAATGAATCTGTGAGTCATAATTATATAAAGACCTATCAATTGAATTTTTAGATATTAATCCATGCACAAGAGGAAAAGCACTGTGTGGTGGCAACATACATTTCAGCTGCAGTTCAAAGCACGAATGATATTTCTGGGCTTCTTTACACAACACTGACACGTGGGAATTAATAATATTAATTAATAACACTGTGTTGATTATGAGAGTCCAGTTGTTCCAGACACTGTTACTTACTATCCCCAAGCCAGCGAGCTGGAGGAACTAGGATACCTTTTATAATGCACAAGTAACCTTTTTCTGCTGGTGAGAATTGGTGGCGTCTAGGAAGTTTTAAGGAAGATGGGTTCACAACCTTCAGAAATTCGCTGTCTCCAGTAAGTGCTGAAATCACTTTGGGAGCACAAGAACACTTTTATTTTTCATTATTTTTAAGTTTAGAGGCAATGGAAATTTCCGGTTTTGTGTTTAGTTGCAATTGAATGAAAAAAAATTTTTTTTTAATTCCATGAAACCTGTTATTTCAGTAATTGTTTAGGCAACCTCTAATAAAAGATTCCCCACTAATATCGCCTACGTTTAAGTTGTGCCTGCGGTCTTGCAGGGGTGAACCGCTGTGTCCCTGTTTCACGCATTAGGGCAGGCTCGCTCGCGGCCCTCGTCACCCTGGGGAACGCTGCACGAGGCTCCGCTGTCCCCGAGAGGCGGGACAGTCTGTCATCAAGGGGCCGCTCGTGGTTTCACTCCCGGGTGGGAGAGCGGAGGGTCGGTCACCAGGAACGGCCTCCTGCGGGGTCTCGGCTCCAGGCCCCTTCGGGAAGGGCGGGAGGCGACCGTCGTGAGGAAGGAGTCAGGCGACCCTTCTGCGGCCGGGAACGGTGACCCGGGGGACTCTGCGGGGCCGCCCGGGGCTCGGATTTCGAAGAGAAGCGGCTCTCAATCGCGATCAGACCGGAACACGTCGAGCCGCGGCCGGGGGAGAAGGACGCCCGCTCGCGCCGGGTCCGCGGCCTGCTCTGTCCGCGCCGGGAGCTGCAGGGGACACCGGGACGCCTCCGCGGACAGGAGGTCGCAGCGCCCCCGCCGCCCGCCCGCCAGCCCGCCCGCGGGGTCTATGGGCTCTGCGGGATCCTGGGGCGGCGGGGTCCGCGGGGTCGTGGGATCTTCGGAGTCTGCGGGGCCTGTGGGGTCCCGGGCCGGAGGAGGACTCTGCGAGTTACGCAGAATCCCCGGCCGGCGAGGCCTGCGGAGTCTACGAGCTCTGCGGGATCCCGGGGCGACGAGGAGACTCGGGCGCCGGGCACGTGGCCCGCAAGGACCCAGGGCAGAGCACTTCCGACCCCGCCGGGAGGAGAATCCTGTCGGGGGCCGCCTAGGACTCGTCCCTGCCGCGCCGTCCCGCCCCCGGCGCGCCCCGCCTCCAAGGCGCCGGGCAAGGAAGGCGGCGCGGGACCCCGGCTTCACCTGGCCTGCGCCCAGCACCCGCGTCATCGCGCGGAACATCCGCCCGTCGCTCCTGCACCCGCTGGCCAGTGACGCCCGGGGGCCACCTGACGCGCTCCGGCACGGTCCTGGGCGCTAACCACCGTGACCGCACTCGATCTTCACGGGGACAGCGGCTCACTGCGCCCCGTGGCCCCGAGTCGGGCTGTTTCCAGCTTCTGGGGTGCCCAAAGTCTTTAACACCAGACCCTAAAAGAGTGTGCCGACCCGCTGACTTTTGCATGAGACCCTGGAGGTGGCACCCACCGCTTTCAGCAGCCCCCCGACGCCCTACAGCGCTTTTCCAGCGGAGTCGGGAGTGGAAACACTCCAGCGGAGTCGGAGAGGCGGGGAAGCCCGAGGAGGCAGCCGGGCCAGGGGCAAGCCGGATGCAGCTCGGTACTGCCTTGCGCTCAGCTGTGTTCAAACAATGCTTCAGATATTCAGCCCCACACGCAAATACTTTAAAGACTTTCATAGCTTAAAACAAGACTAAGGCAAAACAAAAGGTCTGAGACGTATAGAGGGCAAAAGAGTGGATTTGGGGTAACTTGAATTAATGTTTTGGAGATAAATTTAGCAGAAGGCATTGTCACTCGAGTATCACGTGAAGATGATATAAAACGGCCCTGTTGGTAGCCTCTAATGGAGAGTTTATTTCAACAATAAAGGATCTGGCTCCATCCACCCATCATTAGTAATGAACTCAATAGCTTTGAAATACCTTCCTACTCAAGGTTAAGGTGGGATTTTTTTTCCACATACACCAAGATTAACAGTGTGCTTTTGTTGAATATAAAGCAAAAAATGTCCTAAGCCAGAAGGTCAAAAAGAAACCCTATTTTAACAATTTTAGGCTAGAATGGAGAACAAGAGTTTTGTATATGTGTGTCTAAATTTGTTCTGGCAATCAAATGGAAATGGCATATGTAAGTGCTGTGTGTGAACTCCACAAACACACGTTTAAGGAATTACAGTGTGCTTAGTAGCAAGGAAAACAATGAGCACAAACTGAAATCTACCATGAAATAATACAAAAAATATGCTAAGGAGCAAAGGCTATTTAGCTATGAATTAAAATTTTCAACTTTTCTTAAAGATGTAAAGATGTAAACAAGTCTTTAGAACTGGAGCACAAGTCTATATACAATTGATAAAAATGCAAATGATTTATTTTCATAGTCAGCCAAAACTCAGTAACTGAATACTAATATAAAAGCTAAAGCTTTTGTTGCGTTGTCTTGCTGACTACAACTTCTTTAAATCTACTTCTTCATTGCCTTGCTTTTGATGCCTAACTATAAAAATAAACTGTTTTCTGCAAAAGGTGGTTTTAAACAAATATGTTTGGTCAAGATTTTCAAAGTCGAAATACTGAACAAGAACGAAAGTTTTTAAAGTTTAACTTTATTTTTTTTTACTAAAGTCCAGAAATTCCTGTAAGACAAGTACATTAATGAAGTGTTTCCAAAGAAAAACGGAACAATATATACTCTAGTTTGCTGAGGGTTCCAGCTCAATATCTTACCTAATTCTTGCGCATTAAAAATCAGCATGGATCTTATAGGATCTAGAGGACACTGTGTTTTGAAATCCACAGTTGGTTCATTTTAACCATAATGAAAAATCATTACTCCTACTCCATCAAATGTTTTACAAGCAATAATAAATTCAGATCCACTGTATTATGCAACACACATCTTTGGAAAGCAACATAAACAGTGAGATCAGATCAGTAGAAATATACACAGTTAAAAGAAATACACAAAGTACTGTAGTTTTATTAAAAACTACTACTTGAGAAAGAAATCTCCTTTCCACAAATAGCATAAAACTGTAGAATGACAAAGGGGTTGGGGGAAAGCTTTACAAAAGCTTAATTCCAACTGTATCTTCCTGAGGGTGGTGGCAAAGGGTATTTCCTTCCTTCTCTGGGAAAGCCCTGGAAATAAACAAAAGGAAGAGTTTATTTTCTGTATTAATAACCTAGCAAGCAAGCAAATCTTACACCTCTATGGAAAGACTCACCATAAAGAAAGACAAGTGTATCTTAAAGGCGCAGTACCTGGTGAGCCCCCATAAACAGACACTCTGATCCACAGCTTTAACACAACCTTGTTGCCAAGTTGCAGACTAGCACTAAACGCTACACTCGAAAACAAACCCCAAAGCCTTAACAATCAACTCAAGACATTCCCTAAAATGCACACAAATGAACCACAGTTAAGTGTTTTGTGTTAACAACATGTATAAACAGTGGTTTTCAATTTTCCCACCACCCCAGAGGTAGTTCAAGGTCCACTGTAGTAACACACCTACATCAATCTGAAATTCACTTTGGTTAACAAAGGCCAGGGCTTGCTAAATCACTTACAGCCAAAGGAGCAACTAATAATTCTAGGGATTTTTAGCTCTTTGCACGCGGAGACACCTCCCGGATCACCTACCAGCAACTTGACTGCACTGCTTTACGAAATAGTGAAAAATGAATCACTTCATATTAAATAGTATAGCTTTGGAAACAATTATTCTATTGTAACGACATTTGGCTTATAATGGATATTTGGACATTGGGGAGTTTATGACCAAAAAGATAAAAAACTTTTATATTATTTTTTTAACATGTGAAACAGTCAAACAGTCACTGACATGCACTGCAGATTCACTGATACAAGTTGTACAATAGTAATTTGTTTGACCTGTTCCACCTAGTATTTTCCCATTCCAGCAGACAATGCAATCTCATTTTCTTCCTCCCACGTTAATAATATGTAATTTATTGTCCGGTATGTTGCTCAAAGACAATGTGGAAGGACGCACTCATGATTTCTGAAGATCACTTCACAGCTGATCGATATCTCAGTATATATTCCATCTCTTTATTTGCTTTATTTGCTTTATTTGAATGGAAAACTTCAGGGAAACATACATTTCTGAAAAATCTGCGCTTGCTACATTTGTCATGCATAATCACCAGCAATCCCTTTATGTCCTGAGAGTGGACGTCAGAGTGGTTTGCTAGATTTAGGATGTCCCCTCAGAGGGGACATTTGAGTGCAAAGGGTTAACTTAGCAATAAATAGTAGATCATTAAGTGATATATTAAGGTTATTACATAATCCATTAGTGGTGACATTTATAACATAACCTAGTATGCTTGAAAATAACATTTTAGTATAAAAAAGATAAATGTGACACATCTTTATCATAATTCCCTTTTTAAGCCTCCAAGATTCTGAAATGGAACTCCTCCAAATTTTGCTACTCAAAGCACTTCAGCACTTTAAACAGCCTCAACTTACTGTGATGATTTTTGAAGCAATTCAGAGCAAAATTTTATGAACTGATTTGAATGACCTGTAACAAATCCCCTCAAAAGACATTAATCATTTGCAATTAAGGTGATTATTTTCTTGTAAGGTGGACAGAGACTTGTAAGAGTACAGCAAAAAAGTGTAAAAAGATTTTCCTTAGCTGTCAGGGGAGGTCTTATAAATTATTATGCAAACCACTGCAAAGACCTATATGCAACACCAGGTAAGCAATTTAAAAGCCACTTCACATCACCGCAGGTGCCAAACTCCACAGACACTATACTCTGAATCACAGTGTTCCAATCTTGTTCTCTAGCAAGGATTCAATTAAAGACCATGTAAATACTGGCCAGGGTGTTAAACTGCTGGAGGAAACTGTATCCAATAAACCTCAGCTTTAAATGCTAAAGATGCTATAAAGAAAACAAAACTTACATCTACTAAATCTGTCTAGGAGTTATAATGCTCACTCAATAATATAGCTGTTTATATATAAGTAAAAAAATATGTGGGAAATTATCAAGCAGAGGTTTCTTTTCATGAGGAGGGATACCAGATGAACCAAGACAGGAGACCCTTAAGATGAATAAAGACAACACAGCTGAAAAGGCAGATTCTAACTGTATCTATTACGAGGGATCTACTTTATTTTAAAGAACAATGTCCTTAAAGGAGAAACAATGTGCTTTGGGGACTGACCACATTTGGACTCATTATCACTGACTGCTATGATTTAAAGGGCTTTTGGCTGGAGATTTTCCAGCACCCTCAAAGGCCTATAACCTACTTAATGAGGCAAGGTACTCACCCTACACGATGTTTAATGATGGACTGAAGTCCATCAATATCCTCTCTAGAAATGTGAGTAAAAAAACATGGAGTCCTGCGAGGCCTGTTCCTGACCACCTGAGGAGTATGCTCTCCATCCCACCACCCACTCACCTGTCTCCCTCCACGATCATCTCGTCGGGGCGGATATCCGCCAGGTCCGGCCAACATCTGGTACTGGTTTGGCTGGAAGGCTGCATTCTGGGCTTGAAGCATCCTATTCCATGGCAGCAGAGGTTCAGCCCCAACACCTCTGTGGAGAAACACCATGTTTGTATTAGAAGCCAAACCTATCACACAGCACACAGCCTAAAACTGGCAGGTATCATTTCTAAATGTTTGGAGAATCCAATTTGCCTGGATTTGTTACATGGGATATACAGAATCAGAATGGTATGTATGTCCCTTATATCCAGAATAATCTAACACGTTTTGTGAAATATCGGCATGTATTACAAAATATGTTTAAACTCAACAGAGTCAGAATTTCTGGCTTTCAATAATTATTTTTGTTCAGTATTGGGGAATTTCCTTTTTAGTCACTTAAAGATTTGAACCCAAGATCACCAAGTTGGCTACATTTAAAATGCTATCCAAACAATAATCATGTACAAGACAGGAGAATGAGGCTTTATTTTCAAAAATGGCCAGACTCGTCCTCGGATTCATTCTTTTTAGTTAATTGCAGGTTGCAAATGAATTCTTACTGCTGAGTATTTTGAATCCAGGGTAGGGGACTAGGCTGCTTTTTCCCATCCATTATTCTGCTCAATATGTCAGAAGGTCTGATTGGAAGGAAACCTTTTCAAGTTCTATTGATGCAGCTTTCAATTGACCACGGTGACCTAGCAACATGAGCACTAATTGGCATGGGCTGACTGGCATTTGGTGTACAGTTTACATGGGAACACAGATTCAACAGCTATTATAACCCAGTTTGCTGTCCCAGATTACTAGTTGAAAGAAATGTTTTAATTGCCTTCAAGTGTCTATTTTAACTTTGCAGTACAATGCAATAGGTGTAGGTATTAAATAAAAAACTGCCACACCATGTAGTAAAGTTGTACCTCCTGACGGCAATCCCCATATAAGATTAACTTTCTGAGACCTCATCTCTACAATAAATTTTTTTTTAAATTAGCTGGGCATGGTAGTGTGTGCCTGTAGTTCCAGCTACTTGGAAGGCTGAGGCAGAAGGATCACTGGAGCCCCAGCAGGTCGACGTTGGGGTGGCCCTGAGTGTGCCACTGCACTCCAGCCTGGGCAGCAGAGTGAGATCTGACTCAAAAAAAAAAAAGGTGCAACTTTTTCCTTGAGGCACTTTCCCAACTTCTACTTCATAGAAGTCCTACAAACACCCAGATACAAATGCTCCAGGGCATTTTTAACATAAGACTTTGGGACCATGAAGGTGTTGTAGGAATTCTATAAACTTTATGTTTGTTCACTAAAGCGCTGACAAGCTGGGAGCTGATATTAGTTGTGACCATTCAGCCTGAGAATCTCACTTCCGAGGTCTCAGGGGAAAAGTCTGGCTGGGCTCCTGGGCAAAGCATTCTTCTCACAGCTATTCAGCCTACTCCACCCCTGCCCCCTAACCTCCTCCCCTCACTTGCAGCTTGTCTTCTTTCTATTAAAAAATGCCAAAGATTATTTTTGTGTGAAGGCTTGAAGAACAGCTCTCTGGAGAACTCTAGAAAAGACCAAAGCCATTCTTTATAGTTGATGCCTGAAACCAGCACTCTAATAATATCATTTGCTGTAAGTAATTCCAAGTAAAGTTAAAAATATGTCTATATCTTAGGAAGAGAATGCACATGTTTAGGTGTTTTAATTATTTTTCAGGTTTATTATTCGTACAAATACATTTTAGGAAGAAGAGCAGCTCCATGCAGAGACAGGACTGGCCCCCTCCAGCCTCTTCAGGAATGAGGGTCTAAGATTTGGGCTGCCCAGAGAGCTTGACAAAACTGGCTATAAGTCCCAAACCCACACAACCCAAATGCAACCCACAGAATGCATGAACTGTGAGATGTTTTCCTTCCTAGATTTTTTTTTTTTGAGTTGGAGTCTGTCACCCAGGCTGGAGTTCCGAGGCATACTCACGGCCACCCCAGTGTTGACCTGCTGGGCTCAGGCGATCCTTCTGCCTCAGCCTTCCAAGTAGCCTTCCAAGTAGAACAATAGGCACACACCACCATGCCCAGCTAATTTTTGATTAATTGTAGAGACGGGGTCTTGCCAAGTTGCCCAGGCTGGTTTTGAACCCACAGGCTCAGGCAATCCACTTGCCTTGGCCTCCCAAAGTGCTGGGATTACAGGCTGAGCCACCAAGCCCGGCTTCTTTCTAGTCTTAAAATTCAATCAACTGAATTTCAGGAAAATCTGCTGGCATAAATAATATACAATCTAAATGCAATTTTGAAAATTTATATTCTAAAAATAGGTTAGGAACAAGCCACAGTTCTCCTTTTTGCTTGAAATGATTATTTCTAATGTATCTGATAATTTTTATGACAAAAATAATTAATAATTAAACAGAACAAAGTAAGAGTGACATGTACTACCCCTCTCCTAGTTTTTATGCAGAAAGGCTCTTATTTTCCACAAGTTTACAATGTTTATACTACTCATATTAATTTGCAAATACTAACAAACGAAAACTAGCCTAGGAAAATACATTTTAAGATCTGAAATCAGCGGTTAATAATTGAGGCAACTTATCTGAGTCATTTGGCATCATGGATGGTAACAATATTCCTAAGTTTCCAAGCTACTGTTTTGGGAAGTTACTGGCAATGATAGGTACTATTACCAATTTGGATATTTTAAATGTATAATATGGCAAATCAGGATTTCTAAAGATTTTTGAAAACAAATTGAACTTAACAAAAATAGGTCAAAAACTAAATGGATGCCTTGCACATGCAGAAAAGAGAGGTCCCCACCAGCAAGAAGCCGCTATGGTAAAGCTCAAGTGGCAAAGGTAATGCAAATGCTGCCCATCTCTGCTCAGTAAGAACACTACCACCAGGCTGTCTGTGTGCAGGGAGAGAGGGAGGGATGTTTCTGTTGCAGTTTTAAATTAAATGAGCATACGGATTCTAAATACTGTCTCACGGTAGAAAATAATTCAAGAAACTGTATGGTTTTTTAAAAAGCACACACGCAAAATTCTCTTTTCTACCAGGATTCTCAACACTCAGAGTGGTGCGGGGGAAACGTACTGAACTAAGGATTAGAGAAACTTGGTTCACACAAGAATTCTACTGCCTGCTAGCTGTGACATCTCAGCAAAATCTAAACACTTCTCACTGATATTCTGTGAGGTCCAAATGGCTGGAATGACAAATGTTGGACTGACAACTGCTACAGAAACGAGGCATGAAATCTCTCTGCTAACAGGATGGGGGGAAGCTTAGAATGGCTCAGTTCAAACTTAGTTTTCTTTATAATATTGGCTTATTTCTTAAATGACAATGATGTAAAACTTTTAAGATAGAATTTTATTATGCTTACATTTAACTTTTGCTGTGAGACATAATTTTTAAATATCTGACTAATACTAAATCAAAAAATATACCCACAAAAAATGTCCCTAACCTGGTGGGTTCACAAGGTCAGTCAGAGGACTGCCAGGACTTGGCTAGGGTAGAATAAGAACAAAACCCGAAGGACACTGGGGTCAGGTAAGGGACAAGGATGAAGATCTTAGTAAAACATGGAGGAAAGGACAGCTGTGGGTCTCAGAGTTGGACACAGAGCCTTTACTCCCTGTGAAGTCCCCATGGCTTTCAATTAGGCTCGGAGTAAATACTCTGATCAGTGAGAAGTTTCTTGATAAAGAATGACACGAAAGAGTGACTTTAGGTAAGCAACTGAATAGTGTGTGTCTCAGTTTCTTCATCTGTCAAAATGTCAACAACAACAAGAAAAAAGCCACCAATGGGTTGCTGGAGAAATAAATGAAGTCATGCTCATTAAAAAGATGTTAACACAGTGCTAACACTTTGTAAACAATAAATATTAGCGATTATTATAAATATATTAAAAAGTGAGCAACAAGAGGGAAACCAAGCATGCACTTTAGTAATTTAGAAAAAATGTACCCCTTATTTTGTTTGTTTGGAAATGCTGCAACTCTGAGGACAATAAAATAGCACATAATGTGGGCTTTGAGCACCTATACCTGAGGTAAGACATAAATACACTGCCACTTGTATTAAATTTAATGAGACTTGCACTAAATAGTTACACTATTACACACTAGAGACTTGCACTAAATAGTTACACTATTACACACTAGAGACTTGCACTAAATAGTTACACAATAAATACTGAATAACAGGATTCCTGTTTCATGCTCTTGAAGGACAATGGGTTGAAGTTTTGGAGTCTAAAGAATGACAAAGTTTTCTTAAAAGGGAGCAGCAATTAGAACTACACTTATAAAAACACTTTATTCACTGCTAAAACAGCACAGGAGACGGAAATAAAACAGACTTGAACTGAGAAGGCAAAAAAGGAAGCCGCACTAGGATGGGGTTTAGTTCTTACATTTATCAATGCCGGCAAAACCATCATGAAATGGTGTACTGTGAAGCTGCCCTTTAAAATGATTCTACAGATGTTAATATAATTATTCATAGCATGCCTAGCTGTCTTGTCGTGGCAGAGTCCATCTGACTTAGAAGCACATAACTTATCAATGAAGGAACACATGTCAAACATCCCTTGTTATTAAACCATGTCACATTCTTCCTAGTCCATGGTACTTATTAGACTGCAGATCCCATAATCCTCTTCTGAGTCCCTTCTGCGTTTAATTCAGTTCAGTCTTAAGTAGTTAAAGAAACTGTTTTCAGTGGCAACTAATAACTACTGACCTACAGTGACACTGCCCTACAATAGGCTTGTCAGTCCTGAAAAAGTTATACCAAGGAAGCTGATTAGGACTTCAAGAGGTCTGTAGCAAGAATCAATGGCTGGTCTGTACGAACGCTGCATTGCCCGCGCAGAAATGATAAAAGTGGAACACCATTAGTTATGCCTCATTAAGCTGCACAATCCTTCTAAAAAGAAATTTGTTTAGCCTGACCAAAACCTAATACAGTTTTAAGCTCTCTGTGTTGCATTTTTCAGGGCATCTCAAAAGCATCAATAAAATAAAGGCCAAGAACCAAGAAAAGTAGCAAAGGCTATCAACAGAAGTCTTTGAATTCACAGCATAAGCTATGTACTTTTCCTAAAGGACAGGTGCAGCAGAAACTGACTTTAGTGGAAAAAATATGTTTCAAGTCACAGAGGTTTTAGTTTCCATAGAGCCCAAAGTGTTTCAAAATCATGCTTGCTTTATCGTTACCTGTCAAATCTTTGCTGCTGGAAAAGGGGAGGAGGGCCTCGCCAGGAATCCTGGGGCCGCATATCTGGAAAAGAAGCAGGGAAAGTTAAACAGAAGATTTTTTTAAAGTAATCAATATTCAGCTAACCACACGTCTTATAATCAAAATTTCTTGGGGGAAAAAAAATCTAAGATAAAATACAAACCAAACAAACTAGTATCATAATAACACAAGCACAAATGTAAAAAGATACGCAACCAACAGGGACAGCAAATTCTTTGTTTCATTATTTTTCCTTGGATAACAAAACATAGTTTTAGTAATCTTGGCCATTAAACTCACGCATTTCTCTTGCTATGTGTGAAAGAGAGTGTGTTTGTAGTTTTTATAATTTAAATGCGGTGCAAAAGGAAAAGATTTAGGTCTTCTCCATAAATACAAACTGAACGAATAGTAACTTTACTAGAAGTTTCTTCCTGACACTTTCCTCCTAAATATGTCAACTGCTGTTGGTACGTAATGTGAAAACCATTCAATCTCACCAACACAACGCAGGAAGACCTTATGCCCATGAAGGGCCCACTTTTCCATTGTGTTCTGACCATCAAACCTCTCCTCTAACACAAAGCTGAACAGCAGCAACATCTGACTAGGAGAAACAATGCAGGGGTTTCTCTCCATTATAGAAGCCTACTGAAACATGAGAGGGCGGCCGAAGCTCAGCGGGCCAGTGCTCCAACCCGCAGCTCCCAGGCACCTCGCCGCCCTTCAGCGGGGTCTGCTGTGGCCTGATTAAAACAGCTGGTTCCAGAAGTTGTCTAATAAGTTCACCATGTGAAGACAGTAACCTCCTCTAGACTCCGGAGACCAAGGACAACAAGGCTTACTATAATGTATTCAGGCTCACATTTTAATAGAAACACAAACTAGAAATATGCTTTTCAAAATTACTTTCTTAAAGAAAAATGAGAGCTTATCTCTGGTTAGAAACCACCACTCCCAAAAGAAAAGCAATCATTCTACTAAAAAAATAAAAGAAAAAAGTAGACTCATGCTTTAGAAAACCCACAAAAAAAAGAACACGAAACAAGGAAAGCATCTGCTGCTCGCAAAGATGGCTTGACACCGCTGGCGACCTCTGCTCCACCTCAACATGGCTGAGAATGCTGGACAGAAGACAGTTTTCTAAAGGTGGGCAGAACACCACAGGGGAGCAGCCATCTGCAGCCCCCACAGCCAGTGCGCCTCTGCTGTGGCCAACCGGGCTGGAGGCCTCCCGCAGCCACACCCAGAACTTCCTCTCAGAGATGCACTGGGACACCCTTGCCAGCTGCCACCTGTAGGCAGATTTCCATTCTGAATTAAAAGAAAAGCAGCATCTCTAATTAATTTAAACCAGTTCCTTTTTTTATATCTTAAAAGCCAAACTACTAGCTGTCAAACTGAGTAACGTGCTGAAGAGTTCTCTCAGTGGTCATCAAACATGTCATGTATGTTCAAAGCCCAAATGAAAATGCAGGAAGCTAATTACTGCAATCCACAGAAATGGAGGAAGACAGTTTCCTCATCTAGGTCCAGAGTGAGTTCTGAATCACTACTAAAGACTATCCACTAATATAAAATAAAATTTCTAAAGAGGTAAAAACCAGAAATTCTTACTAAAATAGCAAGTGTGTAGCTTATGCCTATGGAAAATAAGATACATTAACCTCAACATATTACATTATTTCCAATGAGTTGCCATTTATGAGAAAATAATCTACTGAAAGTAAAATCAACATTTGGGTCACTTTTTCTGATTATTACTGTGTTACACTTGAAGTCTACTGGCTTATTCAGATCACATACAAAAATTAGCTTTAGTGAGAATCGTTAAAATGTACCCAGAAGTATTTTACTTTAGCGCTTTACTTTAGTACTTTAGTACTTTACATATGCAAAATTAGCTAATGTAACAAAAGTCAAGACATACAGCAAATTTCATTCAGACCTGTGTCAGCCTCTAATTTACATGCCCCAGAATCACTGTGGTCACCCTAGAAACACATCCCTTTTTACCATTAAGACTTAATTCCATATTCTGGTTCCACAGTCTCTTTACGTATGGTACAGTCACAGAATATACACTCTCCAAAGTACTTAAAAAAGTTTCCACAATGGATCACGAATAAATTTAAAATTGAATGAAGACAATAAAAAGACACCATCTCCCTTAAGAGAAACAGTCAGAAACACTTATCCTAATGTCTTATGAAAAATAAAGAAAAGAAAAGCTTATCTATTTGCTCCCAGAAAAAGTACAAATGGAGGGAAAGCCATCACCCTGAGTAATGCACATCATTGTATCCAAACAGGCAACATGTTAGATGAAGCACAGCAATATTCCTAAGAAGAACTGGAATGTTAAGTTCACTAAATAGAGATGCTTTTGTTGGGAGCGGGAGTGGGGGGTGCTTCTCAACAGTTCACCTGTACACTCGTAAGTGCCTAAAAAACAGCCCAAGTTCCTTGCATCTCATGTCTGTAAGCCAGGCACCTCCCTATTTTCCATTTACTATTTTGTAACTCCAGAACAATTTTTTTCACATAACTTCAGCACACGTAAAACTTACAAAACTTAAAAAAAAAAATGTGATACAATTATTAAAATATCCTTTCTTTTCAATCCAAAAAGAAAAGTGAAAAGGATCAAGGAAAAATTTCAAGGAGGCTACCTTTAAGCAAATCTCTTCACTTGGCCCTGAGTAATATATATAGCCTTTAAGTATTCAAAAAGCGGCAATATTTCCTGGCTGATAAGTAATGAAGTAGACAGTAAAACAAACTTATTATCATTCATTTGTATGGCTCTAACAGAAGATCCATTTGAGAGGAAGAAAAAAAATTCTGAGACAGTGAATTGCACTTCAGAAGGTACAGGCGGGAGTGGAAAAATGATAGTTAATTTTTTCCTTTGGTTTTAAAAAACTTATCTCTTTTCTAGAGCTCTAAGACTACATAAACCAAGCTTTGCCAATAGCTTCTCAAGTGACAACTTACCTAATCAGCGTGGTAATCACAGAAAAGACTCCATGTTTACTGACTGCACTAATCAAAAATCACTTTTCACATGCAGCTAATTGACAAGTTTACCGAATGAAATGAAGAGAAGTCACATCTAAGGTTCTCTGAGCTACAGAAACTAAGTGCTTTATGCATACTGAATACTCAGAGTTGCACTTGACACCAACAAGTTATCAGAACTCAGGCAATTACTCATCAGCCAAAAACAGACACATCAAAGACAAATCAAACACCAATAGGAAGAAACACCCACAGCAGACACTTGACAGAGAGCTGGCAGTTTGACCAAATAGCCCTTCCTGAGTGTAATTTTGCACTATGTGAAGAAAATAGTTATACTAAAAATATTTTAAAAGATTCATTAAATGGCTCAGATCTCAATTTTACTAACACAAATGGTTTCTGACCAAATTTTAAAGTTCAAAATTCTGTATAAAGTAAAGCTGATCTTTTATCATGTATTTAATACTTTCATAGTACTTACTAGATGCAAAGGTACTATTCTAAGTGCTAATAATGATTTAAATTCATTTATTCTGGATGTTCTGTGAGATAGGTATTCTTATTTCTGTCCCAATTTAACGATGAGAAAAGTGGGGCAAGAACTAAACCCTGCCTGGGGTAACATGGCTGTGAAGGGACAGAATGAAGCCAGGGACTATTTCACATGCACTTAATGCTGTTGGCTAAGACGACACATCACATCAATTTATTTCAGAAGGATCAGAGGAGAACAACACCCAACTTTTGTGCTTCTCAATTAGGAGGCTCAGAAACTTAGGGTTACAAGAAGATAAGATTAGAGATTTGACCACTACTTTCAAAATTTTGAAAGCTTACTCATATCTAAGACAGGAAGAAAATAACACACACTTTGGTTGTAATCATCTTGACAAATACAGGATTAATGGTGAGAAAATGAGAAAAAAAATCTTGGCTAAAGCATTTGAATCCCTGCTCTTTTTAAAAGGATAATACTATCCCCAAAGACTTGGTATTTTAAAAATATAAATAGAAGGATCAGATAAAAGCTAGAACAGGATACAGATAAATATGGACGGGTAGACTGATGGATGAATGGATGAAAGATAGATTGATAGATGGGTGAGGACTAGTTCTGTATAAATACTCAATCCACAAAATATATATGCTAGCAAAGTCTTAATGACAGCAAACTAAAAGAAAATAAAAAATTAAATCATATGTCAGACTATGTGCAAACAATATTGGGAAAGACATCACAAAATGTAAGACTTCCTTTCTTGATAGCATTTGTCCGGGTTTATCATCCTTCAATGACCTTCTAATTATTTATCCAACACATTTCTTACAAAGATATCAGGGAATGATTTGTGAAATGGCATGGTTGCCTTTCAGGAAGTCTAACCTCATAACCCAAGCTTTCCTAAGTTGTCTTATAACCAAGGGCAATTAAAATTCATTAACCTATTCAAATGGATTATATGCAAATGACCCCCACATTTCTCTCCTCAGCTATATCCTCTCTCTTTAGCAAGACCCTGACTCCTAATACCACCTAACAGCAAATGGCAGCCAGAGTCAGGGCAGGTTAGACCTGTATCCTAATACCACCTGAGAGTGGATATCTCAGGAGTCACAGCAGGTGAGACCTGACTCCCATCACCTCCTAACGGGGATGGCAGCAGGAGTCATGGCAGATGATTCTCCTGTCTTTCAGGCACTTCGCCCTTCACACAGTCACTCATCATGTCCCTTCTTCCTTCCTCATCCTCCTGGGTTACCAAATTCTGCAGAGGCCTCACTGGCCACCCAGGCATCCACAGTAGACACATGAGGCTCTCTGGATCCCTTTCTTCCCCTTGCTCTGCATATCTGTCATCCACACTTTCAGCCCTTTACCTCCCACCTTCTCGACTCCAGATCTACTTTGCCACAGACCTGTTCAGACCATCATCATCTCTCCCTAACTGGAACAGCCTGGAGGTGTGCTTCTGAAAAGTAACCAGATGTAACTGGTTCACCCTTTTGCTTAAGAGCTT